CAAAATTATGGATTTTGAAGTTTTGTAGAAATAAAAGGGAGATTGACTTGAGTGAATAATAGGTCAGAGATGCATGTGTAGAAGTTAGAGAAGGAAATGGTAAGAAAACTGGAGATTTTTTCTAATGGCAATGAGAACTCAGCAATATGATCTGGCACATATAAGTACTAATATAACTTTACAAAAATATGAAAAATGCAGTTAAAACTTTTTGTTATGGTTATATTTTATGCCGTGTTGATGTTTTTTTATACTTTCTGTTTTGGTGAAATATACCTATTATTATAAAATCCATGATTAAACCAATAGCTTTTTTTTTTTACATTAACATTTGTTTTAAGTGTTTCTCTCAAAAGTATTTTTAAATAGAGATAGAAATATTCTTATTAGCATTCAGTCATATGGCTGTGTATACTATTCATTTCCACGCTACAGTTTATTTTGTCAACATTTTCTGTTTTGCAAGATGACTCCTACTAAGTGTGGGTCTCATAACTTCAGAAGTACGATCAAAAGAGGCCTAGAGTTTAGAGGAGCCAAAAGGTCCCCAGGGTGAAGGAACAACTGAAAGAAACAAGAAATTATACTTATTGTATTAAAACTGATGGAACATTGCAAATGATTTGCCAGTCTGTTCAATTCACATATTGCATATGTTTTGTTTCTTACAATAATAAAAACAAAACAAAAATCTTATGAAATGTTAAACTGTCGAAAGTTGTGCGATTCAAATTTTTATCTAAAACATAAGCTGAGACAATAACATTAAAGCATTGCGTTACCAGAGTTCATGGGAAATGTTTGCTTTATTGATTACCTTACCTTTGATTTTCCTTCTCTCCATTGGTGAAGTTCTCCTGATCTCTTGCCCAAGGTTGTTATGTCTTGTCAGTGTAATAGATGAAAACAAACTCAGATTCTGCAAATCCAATTCCAGTAAGGATATCAGGATAGGATGACTTTGCTGTTCATTCTTTTTGGAGTATTTAAAATCTTGCAATGGCCACACCATGCGTGGGTGGTCTTTCTTTACCCCGAGGAGGACAGTTCCTGTGATTCTTTTCCTCTAATTTGCATAGCAGTGGCCACTTCTCTTCCATACACAGGTCAAAGTCTATCTCGGCGTATGGGATTAACCCTCTCCCAAACCAAGGGAATCTGAAGTACAACACAATTTGATCAAGATGGAGCATACTTTCTTTAGAGCCCAAGATCTATTAATGCTTTTTGTTCATATTTCTATCACTGGACTCTGACTTCCTTCTCATTTCTATACAAAATTTTGATTTCAACAAAATAGCTCATTTCTTAAAACATTCCCAGAATCTCCTTTCTTCCAACACATCTCTGTGAATATTATGACTATCAGACATCGCTTCTCATATTTTCTAGTAAATAACATCAATAAAAAAATAAAACATTTGAAAAATCTATGCTTAAGAAGCCCTGTAAACATTGCTTCCTAAAAAAAGAGGTTCACTTTAGCAAAGTTAACATCATTTCTAAATATTCTGAGGCCATCTTTGGATATTAGCATTGAAAATCATTTTGTACAAAAAGGGAGCATATTGTATTTGGCAAGTACTATGCATGCAAGATGCAGAAAGAAAACATTATTGCAACTCAGGGTTGCACCTGGAAAAAAGGTGCCTCCTGCACTCTTTGTGAGGGGCTGCAGCTGATGCTCCAGTGATTTGAGCGAATACAGGAAGAAGCAGGGAATGAGCTCATGTACAGCCGCGACTCCATGGAACTGGGTATTGCATGTGATTTCTGCCTAACCACCTGAAAAAATAGGCACAGGTCAGACTTATTTATTTGTACCCAAGTACAGGGAAAAATGTAACACACAGGTCAGCAAAAAAGGGAATGAACTTTGGAGACTTTGGAGAAATGTAACGGTAATATGAGAGAATAAAGAATAACAGATTTGAACCCAACATAACGTACTGGCGGAACAGACGCACTGCAAGTGTGTGGCAGCAAACACGCCCCCTCCACTTTTCCTCCCCTTCCTTCCTGTCTTTCATTTCTCGTGTTTTCCAACCTTTCCTACACCCTTTTCTGTTCTTCTTTCTTTCCTCCTTCCCCTTCCTTTTTGCATTCATGTTTCATTCCTTCCTTTCTTCCTTCTTTCCTTTCCTTTTTCGTATTTGTCACTTTTTTTCCCAAAATGGCCCCCTCACTTCCTTATTCTTTGATGCTTTGAAAATCATTAAATAATCCACCTATCAACAATTATGCAGCAGCTGTGTACTCTACGTTGGTTTGCTGTACCTGCATCAAAGGCGTCTCATTAAAGCTTCTCATCACAGCAAAGATCCTCTCGTCCACCTTTTCTCGCAGTGTCCCATTTGTCCTTTCACCCTTACTCTATCCTTGTATCTTGTAGCATTTTTGCTGTTAAGTGTTTGCAATTGATGTGTCCTGTAAAGAACCTCATGGAAACTTGTGAACATGACAAGAAAATAAAGTGAATTCATGAAGACTTGGAAATGAAAATAAAGTTAATTTTGCTTGCTAATATTTCATATTTCAAAATATTAAATCAGATCCTCTTTTACTTACCTTTTCTAATCTCTTTTGGGAACTTCTTATTGAGCTCGGTATTTCCAATACCTACAATCATTACTAAACCATAGCAAACACTTCAGCATTGATTAGGATGAAATTAAAATAATGATATTAAAATATATTTTGCTTTCCTTTTCTTATTTCATCATCAATAATAGAAATATCTTTAGTAGTAGCTCATAAAATGCAACATGAACCATAGATTGTAGTCAATTTTCTAGGCTATTTGATTATATTTCTTCCTCCTTAATGAAATACAGTAAAAGAAAATAATTCCTGTTAAATATCACTTTATATTGTTAAACATAGAATTGATAAAAGAAAATTTAATGTTCCTACAGAATAAGACATATAATACCATGGTTAGAAAACTGACAATGCAAGGCAAGAAATATTGCATGAGAAAAAATTAATCTGAGTAAAACTCACACCTTAGCTAGGTTCAAAAACTACACACAGAGACAATCCTGAAGGAGCTTAACTATGTAGGGCACACCCTTGTTACCAGGGAGGGAGGGCATTTGGTAAATGGGCACATAGTACAAGCACAAAGGGAAGGCCAGTGCTGCCTGGAGGAACAGAGTCAACTGGGGACTCACAACCCACAGCAGTGTCTGCGTAGAGGGTGAGGAGGAACCGAGAGGGAGGAAGATGAAGAAGCCAATTCTAGGCAGAACAAAAATGTCTGCAAAATCTAGGAGAGTGCATATTCAGGGAGCTATAACCAGCTCTCCTCTGTATGGCCAGATCTAGAATCCAAAATCAAGCATAGCCGTTGGGACAGAATAGGAAGCAAGTCAGGTCTGATTATGATTTATTGCCATCAAAAGGGAGTTTAGGACCCATGGCTTTTTCACAGCATGTGCTCTCTGCATCAGCATCAAACCATGCTTAAATAGGCAGGGTAAAGACTTTGCCAACTGCCTGATTCTAGAAACTAGGGAAATTCATCCTGCTACACCTTTCTCCCTTTGTCATTCCTCTTTTGTGCTTTAAATTCAGTGCTAGAAACACAGAATCTTCTTTGAACCAACCAGCAATCACAAAGAAATCTTTGATAAGAATAAATATTAAACTCCTGATTCTGTTGAGGACTTCTTTCAAACTCACAATGAATGAAGACTGGGATAATTTTAATCATGGAAGCTCTGTCTGAAAAAGCCAATCTTGAGAAGGTGGCGTAGAATTCGTCCACTGAAAAATTTAAGGCCACATTGAAGAAGGAAGGCAGAGGGATCCCAGAAAAATGGGCCTAAGGAAACAGGAGAACACAGTGTTTGGCGAAATTTTATTTTTGTTTGCAAGCTATACATCCAGGGACAAACACGGCCATAGCCGCACAAACACAAATGTATCCATCTTTTCCAGAATTGTGTTGACAAATGAAATTCATGAACAGAGGCACCATTGAATCTATTAATGCATAATCCACATACACAGAATTGCATGAGACAGAGCCACTGTCTTGAAATCGCAGTCTGTCTTCACTGTGTGTGTGTGTGGCGGGGGGGGGGGGGGTTCCTTCAGGTATTCTACCTGGCCTTTGCTGTTATGTAAACAACATGGACTTTTTCAGGTCAAAGCTCAAGTCCCTTTCTGTCCTGTCACCCTGGAGCAAAGACTGAAAGCAAGGGCTTCTGGCTCTATTGCCTCCCAGAGGTGTGACCTTAATCAAAGAGCATAACCACTCTTTTTCCTTAGCTCCCTTGTTTGTAAAGTGAGCAATACAATTGCACTTTCCTTCCAGGATACTTGGAAGGGTTAAAAGGGTTTCATGATTATAAAGTCTGTGAAAGTTTCTGATAAGTCATACACTTCTAGAGTGATTAGATATTTTTATTTCACCCAGGAATTACAAAACTAAAGGGAGCAACATGAATGAAGCTAGCAATATTCTTACATGACACTTTCAGAAAGAGGTGAACACAGAAGATTTTGCTTTTTTTCAAACATTTAGCCACTTTTAAATGCAATATAGGCCCTAAATCTAATAGCATTCATGATAACTATTTCAAAAATGATATTTCATCAGTCAAAACTTTCCTTATGTTGTGGTGATGTTCACATTAGTACAAATAAACTCCAAAAATACCCAATACACCAAAACAAATAAAAAAGAATTATGTCCCCATTACAAACTTCCCCTTGGTGAAAAGGTTGAGTTGATAGAATACTCAGTTCAATTCCATTACTGTGACAATGAATGTCTTATTATTGATTTTTATTTTATGTAACATTGAATTTTGCCTCAGGACAGCCATTACATTTAACTTCTCAGCAAGATGAACTCTCATGCCATTTGGGACTCAGGAGGCCACAAATGAGCCTAGGAAATGTGCCCAGTGATTTATTTGCTTGACTGATCTTGTGTTACGGGGAATTCTTATCAGCTGAGTTAGTCAGTGCTTACCATTCCCTACAGCCATTGCGACCAGCAGGGGCCACCAGCCTGAGGAAGACCAATTTCCCTTCTTCTCCCATCTCCTCACTTCTCATGTAAGTGGCTGCACGAAGAATAGTGGGGCAGATGTACTATGATTTTACTTTTCTAAGTATCGTGTTAGTGATGGGAGCTCAGGGTACTTTTGAGTCTATTCTTCATTCACCCTTTCTCCTTCAGAGCACTGTTGAGAAAGCACTGGTGCTCAGTGCTTGGGATGACTCATGACCTTCATGGCACTAACAGAACAAGCTGTGTGAATCGTATTAACCTGGGGTCCGTTTTGGTTAAACATTAAGTCTGACACTGTTTGCAGTACCTAGCATAGTTAGATTCACGAGTTATGCACACATATCACAGATGACTGAAACATGTAAGAGTTTGGGAAACTAAGAAAGAAACAGGTAGAACAAAAGGAATAAATACATATAGGTGAAAGGGGGCAAAGTGATAAATGAATTATCATAAAACAAAAGATTTTATGAAGAATTAGGGTTAGACACAGAAAAACGTTGTTGGAGGTATTTATTGAAGAGAATTTTTGTGGCTTATCCCCCACTCTCCGCGAACACTTATGTTCATCATGTCCCTGGCAAGTGAAATTACCAGAACTTTTTTATGTTACACACCCCTATTGAGGACCATGTGAAAGCAACAGGTCATACTGAAGCTGTAGCTGCTGTAAACTCCTTTGACCTGAGTTTTAAGGATGTTCATCCTGAATATTTAAAGGTAAGTTGATTGATTGTTTTCATCAGGTGACCAACATCTGTCTGTGACAGCACACAGACTACACCCACGCAGAGGCCCACATGCAGGGGTGAATGTCAAATTTCTAAAAAAATGATTAGAGTGAAACACACATTTCTATCAATCCCTCTCAAAATACTCCCTGCAATTTTGAACATACTTACCCCATCACTCTGCCACTTTGTGAAGCAGTTCAGGAAGTCCTCTTAGGATCTCCATGAAGTGTGATAAAAAATGCATTGAATGCCACTGAGTGCCACCCAACAGAAAGGCAGGCTTGTGAAATATTAAAAAAGTGTCCCCATCCACTTTATTCAGCAGATTTAGTATCATGCAATTTCTGGCTCATCCCCAAGTCAAAAAAAACAAAGGAAGGTAAAGGTTTTAAAGTAGTTCAGAGGCAGAAAGGGGCTAAAGGTGTAGGGAAAGTGGGAAGGGTAGGGAAAAGGAAGTAAGGGAAAAGAAAAAAATATGAGAAAATGAAAAAGATGGAAATGAAGTGTTTGTAAAGGGGGAGGGAGGAGGGGTGAAGGGAGGGCAGGGACAAGGGGAAAAAATGAGAACCAAGGCCTGTCATGTAAAGGTACAAGAGCCCAATAATGAATGTAACTGTACCGTATACCTAGCAGGTACTAATAAACTCAATGAGGAAAAAAAAAGAAGTAGTTCAGGACATTGAAACTGCCATGAAAGTTCAGCAAAGCCTTCAGGAAAGAGGACTTTCAGAACTGCTTCAGAGAGTGGCAAGATTCATGGGATCAGTGTTTTTGAAACAAGAGAGATTAATGGCAATATTTTTTACAGTAATAATAGTATTTTTAATTAAACATTTTCTACATGTTTTCAGTCATACCTCATCACATTTTTTTTTTATTTTGTCTTCTCTTTGGCTTCTTTTGGAACAGGTGTCACAGTCATAACTATCAGCAGAGGGAGAGTGAAGAAGCACAAGTTACTTGATAGACTTCCTCAAATAGCTAAGTCCTCTTCTCTGAGCCGATCAAGCTCTTCCTCCTCGTTCAGACTGCCGGTAGAGCAGTCAGAAACCCTGCCCCATGTCCCAGGTTTGTCATCAGCTGTCTTTACATTTAGACAAGTCATTTTATTTCCTCCTCACATATAAAAGGAGGGATTATGTCAGACAATCTCAAAGCCCCTGCAGCGCCAGAACTCCACAATCCCAAATTCAAAGAACCACTTAGGACCATGGGCTCAGACCTAAGGCCAGAAAACTAAACCGACTGACAGAAGGAGGGCTGATTGAGCTGCACGTTTTTATTTCATGTTGCACATTCATTTCCTTAGACCTGTTCCTGTACAAAAATCTGTTGCTGCTCTCCTCTCGATCATCAAAGTAAGTGCTACTAATTTTACTTTTTGCTAACTTTACTTTTACTATAAAAAGCAATGCATGGACAATGTAAAAGAGAACAAAAATTAAATGTATAGGAGAATAGATTTTCTCTCTAAAACAGTACATTTGTTTCTTAGCCTTACAGAAATTTGCAATTTGTTTTACACTTGTACAAACAAGAGCGCCCACATAAATACTCACAAATGCCTTTTTTATTTGATTTCAATATGTCTTAACTTTTTCCATATCACTACCTAGACATATTATGTTATTTAAAACTCTAGTTTTCTTTTGAATATTTTATAATTCTTAGCTTTCTTTTGATTAATATTTGGTTGTTTTATTCTATTCTTGGCCCCTTTATGCAAATGAGTCAGAGAATTCATTGAGGAATTACTCAGGGTAAAATTACTGAATTTAAACAATGATCCATTTAAATCTGCATGAACATGGCCAGAATTTTCTCCAAAATTATATAGTCATTTGGGACTTGATGCAATTTTACATGAAACGTCATCCAGGCGGTCACTTTTGGTGGTTTCTTTGGTACAGCTATAGTCACTATTTCACATTTGACAAATCTTGCATTATCAAGGCTTTTATATTTTTTTAAAAATTTGATGGAGCCAAAGTTGTCTCACTGACTTGAGTTTCTAGAATAATGAATAGGACAGAACATCTTCTCCCATCTTTAGAGGTCACTGGTTTTCCTTTTATTCTATGAATTATTGTCTAAATTTTGGGGGGCAATTTCATTTCTTCTTTATTTCTACAGGCTCTTTATTAGTAAAATGGCTTTTACTTTTTTTCCTTCAGGTATACTGTCTTGACTGAGATGGTATATATTCATGTGTACTATTAGTGATTATTGTAGTCACTTTTTTAATATCCATTATAGATTTCATTTGTAAAGGTATTTACTATGATATTATTTGATGTGGTGATTTTTTTTTTTTTTTTTTTTTTTTTTGTTGTTGCTGTTATTGAAGATTGAACTCAGGCCATTACATTGAACTACAATGTCAGTCTTTCATTTATTTATTTATCTATTTAATTTTGAGACAGGTTCTCATTGAGTTGTTAAATTAATTAGGCTGATCTTGAGCTTGTGATCCTCCTGCCTCAGCCTCCCAGAAGGCTGGAATTATAGGCATGGGGTAACGCACCTCACTTCTGGTGTGGATATCAATGTTATATCACTGCTATGAAGCATGCATTAAGCTTGGATCAATATTCATCTTTGTCATGTTTGATGCTCTCCGATTAGAAAGATATTTTAGTGAATGTCACAAAGTCTACCCTATATGCTTTTCCCCATCCCTTTTTGCTTTTTTTACTGTCATTAATTTCTTTGTCTTATGTTTTTAAAAATTCATACAAAATAAATCTGAGTCTTGGTCTTTCAACCACATTTTACTTCATTCTTTAATAAAGTAGGCTCATTGACATTTACTGATATAACCAATATATTTTTCTCAATTTTTATAATATCATAGTGTTATGTATATTATAGTATCTATGCTTCTCTCCCTATTTAATGTGGATTTTTGCTGCTTACTATTGCTATTATTAGTAGTATTGCATCTACACATTTGAATTTTTGTTGTAGCCACTAGCTTTGTACTTATACTTCTTCTAAAAATGCTGTGTAGCAGTTTTTCCTTCTTTCTACTTCATTTCCACAAGAAAGGCATATGGGTATAGAGTTTTATAAATTATTGTATTACCAAAACTATTTTTCTAGAGCCTTAATAAATGACAGCTTGTCTAGATATAATATCCTGAGATTACATTTGTTTTATTAAGGTTTTATTTTTAATAAAGCCCTGCTCTTTTTTCCCCTTGTTTTGTATGTTATATTTTAAAAGCCTGATTTTGATTTAATTATTCTCATTTTTACATTATTTCCTTAGTCTTTCCCCAGAGGGCTTGACGATTTATTTGCCATCCATGGGTGAATAATAACATTTCTAAGAACTGCTAAGTCCTGGGCACATTTTTAGGTCTGATGAAATTTTAATATATAAATTCATGAGTTCTTTTTCCATTTGTTATCTAAATTTTTTGTTACATTTTAGTTTTAAAATTAATTCTTTTCAACTGATATATTTCTTTTGAAATTACTTTGTTCTTTATCTTCAAATTGTGCCTTGGGAATATTTTTATTGGGTGTATTCCTCTTGTTTTCTTATTTTTTCTGCACAAAGGAAAAGCATCTTATACTCATTTAATCGATACAGCGAAGGAATACAATTTGAAACTCACTAAAAGATATTTCAAATTTCAAGATGTTGAGAAAATTTTTTTTACTTTGAAATCAGCCCCTAAAGAACTCATAAAATTGAATTTTTAATTTCTATACTTGAAATGAATTGGGATGTTATTATGGAGAGTAGTGCCGGTGCTGGAATGATGTAAATAACTTCCTGTCAGTAAGTGCTTCCCCGCTGTAATGACCAGAAAAAGGCTCAGTCTCATTGCTAACTATCCTAGCAGATTTGGACATGCTTTTTTCCTGAATACATCACCAGTAGAAAAACAATACAGTGAAGCCTAGATTCTAATAAATCATCTAGCCCACATGAAAAGAACCAGGCCATGACAAGAGATGTAGAAACCCATTTTAATAGAGCCTATGCCAGCGCATTTACGGTTTTGTCTCACTTTTTTTAAATTAACTTGGGCTCAAACCTTCTACTTGATCAAACTACACATAGTGTATTTACAAAAATAATCTCTTAATTTTGGAATAGTTATCTCTTAATTTTTTAAAATCTGCCATTCTTCCTGTCTAATTTACCATATCTGGATTCATGGACATAACCAAGCATACAAGAAAATAACACCAATTATATTTTATTGCCTTTAAAATAGAGGACTCACATTTTCACATGCAATTACAAAATCCTCTCTGCTCCGTCCTTGCTTCAGAGGGTTTGTCTGGCTCCACTGCAATTTGCAGGGATGGAGAAGAATTGCAGAGAGAAAGATAAAATGCACCAAAAAGAGGCCCTTGTCCCCTCAGTGAACTACCACGCTCGTTTTCGTTTTCCTCCCAGAAGCACGTCAGATAAGAGAGTGTTGTCCACAGCAGATGATCTCAGGGACAGAATGGGTGTGCCCCAGATTTAGTCTTCATGGCCACCAGTACCTCTTTCTGACTTCTGAAGAGCCGCGTTAAGTTTCATGGCCGTAATTAAACAAGTATCACTGATTTAAATCCCTTATATTTTCATGTTAATTTTGGTAATCCTTATAGTAAAAAGCCCTCTAAACCTTCATGTGAAAATATTAAATAGCACCTATACTTGCAGATGGGAAAGTATCATGAGAGAGAGAGCAGAACGGTTGGTTTGTGGACAAAATGAAGCACTCTGGGTGTGGAAGAATATTCTCTTTGAGCTCACAGTGGAGTTAAATTGCTATGGATACCGTGATTTCCTGAAAACCTGTCACTGTGACATGTACCCTTGTAAAGGACAGGGGCTTATAGCATGAAATATTTTTTACGCTTTTCTTGAAACTCCCTCAGAGAATTGTTGACTTGCAAACATTTTATGCTCTGAAGTCACTGAAACTCAATTTACCTACACTCCTACTGAACTTGCTATATTTCATTTGGGTAGGTTTACATGAATGCATTCACATATGAATTCTTCATGACCAGATAACTCTTAAAATTTTTTATGCAATTAAACAAAGGATGGATATTGATATCTGTTTTATTCTGCTACTTTTCTAGCTTCATATTTATCTCTAGCCAAAAATTTTGTCCTATCTGCCATATGTAGAAAAAAAGAAAAGAATGGAAAGAGTGGAGAAAGTATATTGTGTAAATGATAAAGACAGAAGAAATTACAATATCACATTTCTTTTGAGGTTATAAAGTATTTTATCTTTTGATTTATCTCAAACTTAGTATAGTGTTAAATTTTTCATGTTAGCGTGCCTAAAAATTTGAAAAATGTGTTCAAGCATTACTGATTCTTTATATGAGCACTTTATAGATATACTTGCTGTAAGAAATAATATACACGACACTCATTGTTACTGATCTTAGCACCCTTGAAATCAAAGAGATTAGAGGACTCATTAGAGGTTTTCCATCAATGCCCTACTAAAATATTGGCCAATTTCCCTTTTATATAATATTCCCCTTATGATGCATAAACAAGGATGTCAACAAACTTCAGATTAAATTGTTGTCATATAAACGTATATGTGATATGCGGCATAGACTTCAAGGAAAAGTTACTTGAATTTTTAGATCACTGAGAATGAGATATTGTTTAAAGATTCTACTACTATGCCCAAATTTTCCAATATGAACTGTTATTATTGTGCTCATAATTTATTTCAGAATAAATTTTGAACTGGATATGTTGCAAAGCCCTTTTCTGATAGCTTAGAAATGTTCCCCTAAGGGAATAGTTAGTTATCCACCTTTATTACCTCTTAGCAGTCTTTGAAGAGGTTAGCTTATTTTCCCTTCATTGTAAGAGTGGAAGGTAAAATTTTCTTATTGATGTTATCAGTAGCACACAATTCCATCATAAACTCTCATCCTCTTGCATTCATTAAAGTGTATATTATTTGATGACAAAAAGGAAAAAGCCTATGGGACTATGCACATAATCATTAGGTGTACAACTCTGTGCTAATCCCCCCCAATCTATCGGAGAAGAAAGCATAATTTTAGAAGAAAAAGTTATAGTTCTCTCCATGCCTCTAACTCAATCAAGAAACCGTGGAATTTTTCAGTCACTTGCAATCTTAGTGCTTAAATTATGTACATGCTCACATAAACAGATCTTCTTTTTGCTTGCAATTCAAAGATTATATTGTTCCGGGTCAGAAAACACATTTTGACATCAGGAAATATTTTCAGGAAAAGCTCAACTGATTCTCATCTTGAAGAAAAAAATCCCTCTAATTGCAAAGTGGCTAGAAGGCAGATGGTGGGTGTAGCATGCCTGAAACTGAACAACTCGAGCTTTCCTG